CAAAAACTAAAAAGAAGTGTTTCACTAGCAGCAGCTAGACACATGCAAAGAGGATTTTTTATAAAAGCAATGTGATTTTATTGAATATACACTCTTAGAAAAAAAAGGTTCAATAGGGTTCTATATAGAACCTTAGGGATCTTGACTCAATTTTGAAGAACATCTATTTCAATTGTCCGCTTTAGACATTCTACTAATTACCTAGTTCTGGCATAAAACTCTAGATGTCGCAGGCTGATAGGTCCTTACTCATTTGGTAGCGATTGCATCGACTTCTAGCGTAGCTGATTGCATCAGCGGCCAATGAGCTGCGGCTCAACATTCTAACAAATACCAGTAGTGTTGCTGTTAGCACTCTGCAGCGCACTTTCAGAAAGCATCTGAAATCAACATTTAAGATAAGCGGAACACTCTTTTACTCCATCTTTGTACATATTGCGTGGTTTGCTTATTAATTCCTAAATGAGCATCATAACAGTTTAATCTAAGTGATGTTGACAGTCTTGTGGAGTGATTAACTAAGCATATTAGCTGCAGTGTTTACGCAATTGTGTTTATGCCACAGCAAGTGGTCTATTGTATGCAATAGCTGTGAGGATACGCTGTCTAAGCTACCGATATGAGAAAAGGTTAAAGTAAAATAAGTGTTGTTCACGCTTTCAACGGTGTTACCATGTTTAGCCTCATAACTCTAATGACGAGTTAATTATTTCCAGGGCAATGTTTTTATTGATTCAGAGCACTTTTGTCTTTCTTTATCAATTCAATAGCTTTTCACTTATCAATAAGAGTATAACGTTATGACAATGATATATCAAATGATTTAATTATGATACTTGATCAGGTGGTTGCTGGGTTTGTATATCTATCAGCTTGCGACGTATATCTATTGTTAATGAGAACACATACATAGTGCACGTTTCTAGAGCTAAGCCATTCGGCAGGGTAGCCCAGGCACACATGGTCATTTAGGTCACCAGTGTTAAGCCAGTTGGCAAGGTAGCCCAGCCACACATGTTCATAAGCTACTAGTGTTAAGCCAGTCAAGCAAGGTAGCCCAAATAGTGTTTTGTCCAATTTGTCCAATACAAATATATGCATATCTGCCTATGCAGCAGCTTGCTTTCTCACTCAGCAGTACGTCTATGGTTGTATTGTTGTCTATTTCTTCCATTAACCTGTGCATCTGTGCAATAGTCTCTTTCAGCTGTTGCACAACTGTGCCCCAAACTCAAATATCTAAAGCGGCCGGGAAAAGCTGCGCAATTGTGGCATTGGCTGTACAGCCTTCAACTATCTGGAAAGATGTTTGTGTGAGGGAGGGGGGCTTTGCACTTTTCTCATGTCTTGTCTCCTGCTTTGTTGGGAGTTTATTTAATGTATGTTACATGTGCAGCAGCAGCAGCATACCTTACATGCTCACAGCAATGTCTGTGAATGTATTGGCAGTAGCAAGTCTCTGTACTTTTTCTGCAGCAGCGTAGCAGATCTATTCCGCCAAGACCAAATACATTGCCATATCCATTACCTTGCCAATCTCTCCGATAGTTGACATGACAGAATTACCTAGTTCTGGCATGAAACTTTAATGTCGCAGGCTGATAGGTCCTTACTTATTTAGTAGCAATCGCAGCGTCATCTACATAGCGCAGCTGATTGGTTGCTGTTGCATCAGTGGCCAATGAGCTGCGGCTCAACATTCAAACAAATGCCGGTAGTGTTTCTGTTAGCACTCAGTGTGCTATTGTTGCAAATTTGTCAATGATGTCACGCAGGTGGTGGAGTAATAACTGGTTCAATAAAGGGCTCTAATTCACTGAATCAGTGACTGTTTAATGATTCTTTTCGATTGATGCATTTAAAAAAATCGTTCGCTAATTTGTTCACGAATTGGATATCATGGTGTGCACTGTGTACGTTGTTACATGCAGAAAGAAATTGCATTGATGTGAACTAAGTTTCCTTAAGAAGATTTTAAATTATTGTCACAATTTTAATTGATGTCTAATTTTAGTCTAAATTCAAAATGTGTTTCTTTTTTAGAAAATAATCATCAGATGTATTATATTCAGAAGTGTCCTCCACTGTGGCTGGTGTTTTTAATGCTGGTGGAGTGCTAGTGTTCCCAGTAAGCTTCTTAACTAAGTTAACTATAAGATTTACCAGAAAGCCATGCCAACAGATAACCTCAAATCGCCAAAACATTTTTTTTTTTTTTTTTGACTAGAACAATTCAGCCTGGGCCAGCATGGAAAAGCATCCTGGTCTTGGCAGCAGGTCTCAATTTTGAAAATTTTAAGTGTTTTCTTCAAATTCCGTGACATTGTGGCAACCTCAATTTTCTGCACAGGATGAAATGCTTCATCTGGTGAAAGCAGGCACATTTTGCCCACATGCCTTCCAGTTGAACCTGTATTAATTTGTCTTCTCTGGCGGAGCTCCCTGTGGCCCCTTAGGGCACCTGATGGATGGGTGGATGTACAGGTTTTGCGAGGACTTTATAAAAAGACAGCGAGACAGAGAGAGAGATGATATGTCTGTACCTAGCTCCCGTCTCCTGCAGCTGCTCCTAACAGGTGCATAACTGCTTCTTGCCAGATGGTCAGCAAAATGTGGTAGTTGGCAGGTTTCTTCACAGAATCAACCCTCGCTCTCACACAGGCACTGAGACGCAAAGATGGAGAGAAAGAGGTTAAAGAATGGGAAAGGTTGGTGACAGAAAAAGTTGCTAAGCGCTATAGCAAGCAAAACTCATTTTTCAAAAACCTTTTACTTGTTTTAAAACTATGTGAATGGCGCTTTTTCAGAGTGTAATTCTGCACTAAATCGTTTCAGGTGTCACAGTGTCGAAAATTGAGAAAGGTAGAAAAAGCACACACTTTTTTTATGTTTTGGACAAACTAACAAGGTTGAGAAAGGCAGAGCTTGAGTCCTCTGCCTTTCTCAACCTTGTTAGTTTGTCCAAAACATAAAAAAAGTGTGTGCTTTTTCTACCTTTCTCAATTTTCGACACTGTGACACCTGAAACGATTTAGTGCAGAATTACACTCTGAAAAAGCGCCATTCACATAGTTTTAAATAAGGCAACTGTGTTACAGTTGTTTTACAAAGTAAAATGGTCGAGTCTTGGGATGTTTTCATCAGATGAAAACTGATGGTCTTTCAGATGGTCGAGTCAGAATTAGGTGTAAACAACATGAAAGCATGGATCCATCCTCCCTTGTATCAATGGTTCAGGCTGCTGGTGGTGTAATGGTGTGAGGGATATTTTCTTGGCACACTTTGGGCCCCTTAGTACCAATTGAGTATTATTGCTGACCATGTCCACAGTGTTCACATCTTCTGATGGCTACTTCCAGCAGGATAATGCACCATGTCACAAAGCTCAAATCATCTTAAACTGGTCTCTTGAACATAACAGTGAGTTCACTACACTCAAATGGGCTCCACAGTCAACAGATCTCAATCCAGTAGAGCACCTTCGGGATGTGCCTGGAACGGGAGATTCACATCATGGATGTGTAGCCGTCAAATCTGCAGCAACTGCGTGATGCTATCATGATAATATGGACCAAAATCTGAGGGAGAAAGAATGAATGAATTAAGGCAGTTCTTAAGGCCTAAAAATACATGCTATTTTTATTAATTAAATCATTAACTTTTATTAAATAATTACATTTATTACATAAATTACATTTGCAAATAATGTAGCTGCTCCAATCAGATTTCAGCATCTGTCTTATTATCTTCAGATGTCTACTGGTAAAAGGTGGGTTATAGAAAGGTAATCAGATGCAGTGATCTCTTAGTTTCACAAACACCACAATGCCCGATGCTGTCTCTCATCAACCCCAAACAATCAAGCTCTCACCGAGAGAGAAAGACTAAATCAATATGAACACCATGCACCAGTCGTGTGCGGATGCTGCAGGATCATTGGGAGTGTGTGCTTGGCCTCAGGCATTAGGAGTGCAGGGTACTCATCCTTCCCATAATCCTCCTAACGGACTACTCTGAACATCTGGAATGAGAAGTGAACATCTGCCCGTCCTTATAAATTTAGAAATCCCCATTACTCCCTTTTTCGGTGTCTCTCACTAAATGAATGCTGTACTGCTTTACAAAGGGTCTACGTGGGTCTGGAAGAGAACACCAGTATTAAACATCACAGAGCAATATAGCAAAGCCTAACAGATATTATTTATTAATACATTTGAATAAATATTAATACATTTTTTATGTACTACCGTTCAGAAGTTTGAGTTCTGTACGATATTTTCATGTTTTTGAAAGAAGTTTCTTATGCTCTCCAAGGCTGCATTTATTTGATCAAAATTGACTTGAGTTGAATTGAAATTGAATTGTTTTATTTAAACAAATAAATTAATGAATTCGATTTTAATTTAATACTGTGATGTCAAATCTGAATTATTCCAGTTTTCAGTGTCACATGGGATGATTCTCGAGAAATCATTCATGTTGAAAAAAAATGTTCTGTTTAATTTTTTTGTTGTTGTTGGAAAACAGTTTTTTTCAGGATTCTGTGGTGATTAGAAAGAACAGCATTTATTTGAAACGAAAATCTTTTGTAACATTTTAAATGTCTTTACTGTCACTTTTGAGCAATTTAATGTGCCCTTGCTGAATTAAAGTATTAATTTCTTTTAAAAAATCTCAGACCCCAAACTTTTCCACAGCACATAAAAAATCTTAAAGATCAGGCAAAACAAAATGTCCTGTTTATAACTAAGGGTAGTAAACAGAGAAAGGGTGGATAATGGTCATGGAAAAACAAAATTACGACACTTTTTTTGGGGGGGGGACAAAAATCTTAATTTGAACATTTAACATAAATTAATTTAAAAATACTTGGTTTATATACATTTCATTGTACTCTTTTCTTCTAATTCAGGAATAACACAGATCTCATCAGGTTAAATGCTCATACACTCACTGTTACTGTATACAGTATTCATCATAAATGGCCTTCCTGTTGACAGGTGCTGACTGAAGCGGGTTTCGGAGCCATCACCACAGAAATAACAATGACCAAGGAGTTCTACTATGCAGAAGACTATCACCAGCAGTACCTCAGCAAGAACCCCAATGGCTACTGCGGGCTGGGCGGCACAGGGGTCTCCTGCCCAATAGGGCTGAAGAGTAAACATTAACACCCTTCTCCTGTCCTGTGATTGGACAAATGTATATTAACATGCCTTAACTGAAGCAATCACTGCTCCAATATACCCAGGCCTATATGTCATTGTTGGATATAAATAAATAAAAAGATTATAACGCAACTGACTAATAATGGTTTTTGTATGTGAGTGTGTCTGTGATCATTGCATTTGATTACAAAACCAAGTGACATTTTCTATCTAATGCAATGACAAGTATACATTTTAAGTTTCAATATAGAAGAGGAAGACACGTTCTTGTTTACGACACGCAGGATTGTGTGTTCATGTTTGTGTGCTTGTTCTAGATCCATCTGTCTATTCCATTCGCATACATATCTATTCATCCCTCCATCTGTCCACTACCTATGCGTTTGGTTCTATCCCAGCAGCAAGAACAAGCGCTCTCGTTCCTCTCTAAAAGTGTCACCACATATTTCATCTCCTCAATTAAGGCTTGACTGCAATCCCACACAAACAAACACAGGCTCTTGCATTCACACAGCGGAATCTGTGTATGTTTTACAGGGAACACTGCAAAAAACGGGGGCCCTTTGGTTTTCATGCATGTTTGTGCCATCAACAATGTAGCTCTCCTAATGAGAAGAGAGCTAAGAATTATTTATTTATTAACAACAGTAAGCTAAGAAAAGTCGGTTAAAACATTTCCCAATTTATGATGTTAATATCAAGGAATTTTCTGTTGATTTTTCACAGGTGTTTTAAATTGGAGTGCTGGCGATAATGTATTTTTGAAGGCCAAAACTCGGAAACAAAGGTAGCATTTTTGAAGCGGTGTTTGGTTAAATGCCTGAAATAAAGTCTGGGTGAACACAAGCCCAAAATATTTTCACATTTTATTCTACAACATAAGATACATCAGTAAAACCCCCCCTTATATGTTTTTAAGCTTTTACTAAATGGGACTACAGAAGTTGTCAGGCCATTAAACGTCCGAACAGGAAAATTCATCCACTCACTAATCCGCTTTTATATCCTAATTGTTTATAATCACACTTCTGAAAACTATTCTCTCGACCGTGGTGTAGTTCATTTATAGCCTACGTTTAGCTTTTTACTTCTGCTGATAGTTTAGGCTTCAAATATCAAAACTCATTCAAGTTTATTGAAAATGTTCAATTGTGAACAAAATATTTAAAAAAATTAACAAAACATGTAAGAATCACAAACTTTTGTTGGTCACAGAGTTTATATTCTGCAAAAATCAAAAAAACCAATGGAAAAATCCTATTGAGTTTTTGTCGATTGTGATGCAAATTTCTGGGTTGGCCTACAAAAATACAAATGGTATCTGCGAGGATTCCCAGTCAGGATTTAAACCATATCATAGTACTGAGACAGCTCTCATTAGAGTCACAAATGATTTGCTCTTATCATCCAATCGTGGTTGTATCTCTCTATTAGTGTTACTGGATCTTAGTCCTGCATTTGATACCATCGACCACAACATTCGTTTGAATAGACTCGAAAATTATGTTGGCATTAGTGGAATTGCACTAGCATGGTTCAAATCATACTTATCTGACCGTTATCGGTTTGTAACAGTAAATGAAGATATGTCTTATCGATCAAAAGTTCAGTATGGAGTACCACAAGGCTCAGTACAAGGACCGTTGCTGTTCACCATGTACATGCTACCCTTAGGAGATATCATTAGGAAGCATGGCATTAGTTTTCACTGTTATGCTGATGATACTCAGCTCTATATTTCTTCGCGCACCGACGAAAGGGCACCAATTCACAAAATTAACGGAATGCGTAGCTGATATAAAAATTTGGATGACTAGTAATTTCCTACCATTTAATTCAAAAAAAAAAAAAGTTTCTAATTATTGGGCAAAAAAACTCGTATTACCGTATTAACCCAGAATACTGTCTAACAATTGATGGCTGCTCTGTCAAGTCTTCGTCGTCGGTTAGGAACCTGGGTGTGCTCTTTGATACCAATCTTTCATTTGAAAGCCACGTTTCTAGCATCTGTAAAACCGCATTCTTCCATCTTAAAAATATATCTAAATTACGACATATGCTTTCAATGAAAAATGCGGAACAGTTAGTTCATGCGTTCATGACCTCAAGGCTAGATTATTGTAATGCTCTACTGGGTGGTTGCCCTGCATGCTTAATAAACAAAGTCCAGTTGGTCCAAAACGCAGCAGCTCGAGTTCTTACCAGAACCAGGAAGTATGCCCATATTAGCCCGGTTCTGTCAACACTGCATTGGCTCCCTATTAAACATCGTATACATTTTTAAATATTGCTGAAATACTTACAAAGCACTAAATGGTTTAGGTCCCCAGTACTTGAGCAAGCTCTTAACGCATTATAGTCCTTCACGTCTACTGCGATCTCAAAATTCCGGCTTGATAATACCTAGAATATCAAAATCGACTGCTGGCGGTAGATCCTTTTCCTATTTAGCACCAAAACTTTGGAACAGTCTTCCTAACATTGTCCGGGAAGCAGACGCACTCTGTTAGTTCAAAGCTAGACTAAAAACACATCTCTTTGACCTAGCATTCACATAACACATTATAGACTTCTATAATTCAATGTTAGGCTGCATAGAGGTCAGCCGGAACCGGGAACACTTCCCATAAATCCTGATGTACTTGTTACACCATAAGAAGAATGGCATCTACGCTAATATTAGTCTCTCTGTTTATCCCGAGGTTTACTGCAGTCCGCCCGATCCAGGCCGTATCCAGATCTGATGAAGGACCTGCGTCTGGACGCGACGACAACGCAGACCTGAAGTGTCAACTAGTCCCTCCCCTGTGAAGGCCTCCTTCCCTTTACCTCTGTACAGATAATCGTTGTCGGGATAATTCCGGTTCATGTGGCTATGCCGAAGCGATAAAATTCTGTATTATAAATTTTAAGGCCAGACAAGTAGTTTGTTGAGGGTTGGTTTTTTAGGGAAGGACTACATGCCTGCGCACAATGCACATATATTCAAATGCGCATACCTATGAATGAACTCTTAATGCGCATGTGCACGCCACCAGCGATCTCACAGGTTCGCATTTTTAAAGTTTGCGTAGAGAGAACTTAAGAGTTTTCTGTTAAAACAGTGTGGTGTTAGCGGCCCCTAAGTTAATAACTAATGATCGTTGTGACGGAAGTGAATCAATCAAAACTAACTTTAACTGGAAAATAACTTTATAACTAATAACTAGAGCTGCCATAAAACCAAAACAATCTGTTACTTTAATTTCCTATTAGGACTGTAAAGCCGCTTTGGAACAACCTACATTGTTAAAAGCGCCATATAAATGAAGATGACTTGACTTGACTTAAAGGACTCTAGTGAGTTAAAGGAAATGTCCGTAAACAAAGGTACTGGTAATTTTCTGGCAGGACGTTTTTTCTAGGGATTTTTTTTCTTTCAGTTCTTACAGTCTGTTTGTCATATGATAGCCGTTTACCCCCGTAAACTATTGGGGGAATAGTTTGATATCTCATTGGAATATATATCCTTTACAAACTAAAATTTTGAGGCACACAACCAGTAACAGGTTCAATACAGCTTAGATCTAAAAAAAAAAATTAGAGAAAGCAAAACTTAAAAAGCACAAAAATGAGAGAAAGCACATATTGCATTATTAGCAGTACAGTGAATGTGATATTCTACGCGAGGCAAAGACACAATTCCTTCAGTATTCACAGCAAAAATATGTGTTTGGGAAAGCAATTGGTGTTTACGGAGGGTCTCTGGTGTGGTTTTGGCTAATCCTCTGAGCAGGTGGCAACCGCTCCATGCACCTATTCCTGTGCCACACTCAGAGAGGGTCTCTCTGGGCAAGGCTGGCACTGGTGCTCAGGAACCTGGCCTGGCACAGCTTCTAGTTCCTACAGGCTGCTTTCAGCAATGCTGTGAAACAAGGACACTTGGTGACGCACTCACTTTGGCCCTGGAACCTGGGACTGGAACGCACGCACTCCGTTTACTTGGATTAGCCAAGTTAGTAACCGGGTGGGTCACAAAAGTTTTGTCACTTTAAAAGTTTAAGGCGGCAAGCATAATGCAATACATTGACTTACAAAGGACATCATATTTAAATCAGATCGATCTCCCCTTTATTACAGCCTAGTTGTTAATGACAATATAATGAATGTGAAATTTCGTAGAAATTTCGTTTTAAAATACAGGTCCTTCTCAAAAAATTAGCATATTGTGATAAAGTTCATTATTTTCTGTAATGTACTGGTAAACATTAGACTTTCATATATTTTAGATTCATTACACACAACTGAAGTAGTTCAAGCCTTTTATTGTTTTAATATTGATGATTTTGGCAAAAAAGTAAAGAAAAAACTAAAAATTAGCATATTTCAATCCGACCAATAAAATAAGTGTTTTTAATACAAAAAAGTCAACCTTCAAATAACTATGTTCAGTTATGCACTCAATACTTGGTCGGGAATCCTTTTGCAGAAATGACTGCTTCAATGCGGCGTGGCATGGAGGCAATCAGCCTGTGGCACTGCTGAGGTGTTATGGAGGCCCAGAATGCTTCTATAGCGGCCTTAAGCTCATCCAGAGTGTTGGGTCTTGACAATTAAACTTTCTCTTCACAATATCCCACAGATTCTCTATGGGCTTCAGGTCAGGAGAGTTGGCAGGCCAATTGAGCACAGTAATACCATGGTCAGTAAACCATTTACCAGTGGTTTTGGCACTGTGAGCACGTGCCAGGTCGTGCTGAAAAATGAAATCTTCATCTCCATAAAGCTTTTCAGCAGATGGAAGCATGAAGTGCTCCAAAATCTCCTGATAGCTAGCTGCATTGACCCTGCCCTTGATAAAACACAGTGGACCAACACCAGCAGCTGACATGGCACCCCAGACCATCACTGACTGTGGGTACTTGACACTGGACTTCAGGCATTTTGGCATTTCCTTCTCCCCAGTCTTCCTCCAGACTCTGGCACCTTGATTTCCGAATGACATGCAAAACTGAGCAACAGTCCAGTGCGGCTTCTCTGTAGCCCAGGTCAGGCGCTTCTGCCGCTGTTTCTGGTTCAAAAGTGGCTTGACCTGGGGAATGCGGCACCTGTAGCCCATTTCCTGCACACGCCTGTGCACGGTGGCTCTGGATGTTTCTACTCCAGACTCAGTCCACTGCTTCCGCAGGTCCCCCAAGGTCTGGAATCGGTCCTTCTCCACAATCTTCCTCAGGGTCCGGTCACCTCTTCTCGTTGTGCAGCGTTTTTTGCCACACTTTTTCCTTCCCACAGACTTCCCACTGAGGTGCCTTGATACAGCACTCTGGGAACAGCCTATTTGTTCAGAAATTTCTTTCTGTCTTACCCTCTTGCTTGAGGGTGTCAATGATGGCCTTCTGGACAGCAGTCAGGTCGGCAGTCTTACCCATGATTGTGGTTTTGAGTAATGAAACAGGCTGGGAGTTTTTAAAAGCCTCAGGAATCTTTTGCAGGTGTTTAGAGTTAGGCTAATTAGTTGATTCAGATGATTAGGTTAATAGCTCGTTTAGAGACCCTTTTCATGATATGCTAATTTTTTGAGATAGGAATTTTGGGTTTTCATGAGCTGTTTGCCAAAATCATCAGTATTAAAACAATAAAAGACCTGAAATATTTCAGTTGGTGTGCAATGAATCTAAAATATATGAAAGTTTAATTTTTATCATTACATTATGTAAAATAATGAACTTTATCACAATATGCAAATTTTTTGAGAAGGACCTGTATTCATTAACAGTCTGTTTTCTCTTACCTTTGAGTAGTTATCAGTAACAGATGGTAAGACTGCCATCTTCCGGTGGATAGTGACATTGCAGTTGCGGGCAGTCTTAATAAATTAAATAGGTCAAAGGATTGTCCAGAAGTTTAATTATATTATTGAGTTGATGCTTTCTTTTTCTTTTGCTCTTCACATCCTGATAAAGAAGTGACCTAAATATAAAAAGTATACTGTATATCTTCTGTGGAAGTCTCAGGACCAATAATAAATATGTATTTATTATGTCTATGGTCCTACCAGCCTGTCAACGTATGTTTTTCCATACTTCTTCGCACACTGCTCGCGCAGACATCACACGTCATCACCGCGTTCCGTGAGGACAGGGTTTGGCTATTTTGAGGCTGTAAGACCGTCTGTTTAGCTATGGTTCTATCTATCTATCTATCTATCTATCTATCTATCTATCTATCTATCTATCTATCTATCTATCTATCTATCTATCTATCTATCTATCTATCTATCTATCTATCTATCTATCTATCTATCTATCTATCTTTGAGACATCTATCTATCTTTGAGACATCTATCTATCAATCTTTGAGACATCTATCTATCTATCTATCTATGATACATGTCTATCTATCTATCTTTGAGACATCTATCTATCTATCTTTGAGACATCTATCTATCTATCTATCTATGATACATGTCTATCTATCTATCTATCTATCTTTGAGACATCTATCTATCTTTGAGACATCTATCTATCTATCTATCTATCTATCTATCTATCTATCTATCTATCTATCTATCTATCTATCTTTTGAGACATCTATCTATCTATCTGATACATGTCTATCTATCTTTGAGACATCTATCTATCTATCTATCTATCTATCTATCTATCTATCTATCTATCTATCTATCTATCTATCTATCTATCTATCTATCTATCTATCTCTATCTATCTATCTATCTATCTATCTATCTATCTATCTATCGTACAGTATAGTCATCAAAATTCACGCCAGAGTTTTAAAACCAAACTTTTTTTTTAATACTAACAAAGAATCATCTCAACTACTTGTACATGGCTACCATGAATATTTGTACAAAAATGCAGTAAAAATATTGATTAATATATACAGATATGTCTCCTTAGTGTCGGCAGGCAGGACGCACATGTAGATGACAAGAACACCAATGGTCTTGCACGAGTACACAATACAGATATCGTTTTCCAACATCAGTGACACTAACTCCAGATCGAAGACTTTAAGAACAGAGATATTAATCATGTCTTCAGGAGTACATGAAAAATAAAAGGAAATACAGTTACTGAATGATACTGTGTACAGTCATGTGAATAAGAAAGTGCAATACAGAACAATACAAAAATCTTAAATTACATGACAGTAAGGAAGGCTGGCAGCATGAGAGACTGCGATAGATTTTTGTCGATTGTGAGAAGAGAATATGGGAAGAGCCGATTGGCCAAGCAGGCAATAATGAACTGGAAGGGAAAGTCCAAGGCAGTGGACGGTTGGTATCGGTTTTGTTATATTGCTCTCGCCCCATTCGTTTACACATTTATCGTATGCCTCTTATTTTCAGAGAAGCGGACCAGAGTGTGCACTGCTAACCTTGTGAGTGCTAAATCAAATAAGGCTTGCGGCATATGGAAACATCTGTGTCACAATGCAGACGGCAATGTCAAAAGAGAGCAGTAAGAACCCTGTTTCCAGAACAGCGAAGGAGTCACTGCTTCAGCGGGATGGGGTGTATTACTTCTACATTCTTTTAGGCTAATGGACACAGACATTTGGACCAAGGAACAATCCAATTCAACAGGAAACATGGTATTATGAAAGCTGTGGCTACCCTTAACAGGTCGTGAACACTGAACAACAGATGTTTAAGCCTGATAACCTTCTTAAATGCACAACACACTCGTACAATAATACTTTAGCGTAGGGTGTCAGTCAAGTATCACAGTAATGACACATCACAGTGTTGATATACTGTCCGGGACGGGTGTCATTTATAGTCTTGGAAGAAATAATATAACCTTAGTTTATACCTTAACTAACTAATGCTTTTTTGTGGTGTGTTTGCCGACTACTCGGGGTTGTATAGCGCCTCTGCGACTCAAATCTACGGATATGGTTTGTGCATGCCTTCATGTTATGTACTATGGATACATAAATCAGTTTTTTTTTTTTTTTTTTTTTATAATCCGTAAATGAGTTAAGCACACCAAAAAGATATTGAATAGGATAAGAAAGGTCGGCATCACCCTCATAACAATAGCTTTTTGTTACACACTGTGTAATAGCACTTGGAAGATCTGTCTCAATAGCATCATACATGATTTCTTTCAAATGATTAGAAATGAAGTGACGTGCGAACGAAGTCTCACAAACTACGAGGAAATCTATGGTTTTGGACAACTACAATAAATTCTAGAAACGAGTAACCATGCATATTACAGACTTCATTAAATGACATCTGATTAGCCATTGATGTCATCAAAACTGTAATGGGAGCTAATGGGGAAAAAAAAGTTCTTTAAGGTTTCCGTCTAACAAGGGGCATTGGGGACCAAGCACGACAAAAAAAGATTCATATTGAGGGAGCAACTCATAGTTTCCATTGAAAGGTGCATGGTATGAACAAAATTTCAGCTTATTGTTCAGAATAGCATCGTTTTTCTGTAAGAACACTGTCGGCGAGACATGTAGACAATTATACATAGCGGGAAATAAAAACATATATTTTGCTACCAGAACATGCACTGGCCTGAAGGGAACTATTCCTGCAGTCTGCACTTTTTTGCTATGCACAAGTAAATTGTTTGCCATTCTAGGATTATTTGACAGAAATTTGTTAGGCAAGATATCTTTTTAAGGGTGCCACATGCAGCGCTGGTGTTTAGCCACATTTAGTGGCTTGCATGCCCTTATGAAGAACATACTATTATTAATGGCTTGCTGGGTACAAATGATACATATTTGCTGTGCAAGAGCAAAGCCAAATGGCCAGCTATTAGCCAATAGGCACATCTGACACCATCACGTGCCACGGTCCAGTAGCCAATCAGAGACATAGGTGAGAGCAGGGACAGGTACATGCTGCCTCTAACTGGTGATCAGATGACATTACAACAGAGTCAGATTGGGAAAGAGGGACAGAGAGCGGCCATATTGAACACAGAGTATTGCCAACATAAAAAAAAAAAAAAAAAAAACTTGTGACAGCACATTGAGGATTGTATACATGTGTGTGCTGAACGAGAAACACAGATCAGAGTCCCTCAGACCCTGGTTGTGTGTTTAACAAGGTTCTGAAGGAGGGTGGCCGAGATCCTGTGATGGAGATGGTGGAGGGGTCAAATCCTCCTGACTCTGTGTGGAGCTGTAGAGTTCAGTGTGAGACTGGCAGGTCTGGGCGCCGGGTCTGGATGATTTTTGGTTTAGGGTTGATCTTTGATTCCTCCTCCTCCTCCGTGTCACTGTCACAGACGTGGACCACCACGCTGGGCGTAGACTCCGTGCCTGCATGCAGCTCAAACTTCTCACCTGTGTGTGTAGAAGAGAAGGATCTGTCAGCTTGAGAGTTTCTGAACCGAATATGCTATAGGTAGGGCTGGCTGATATATCGAATACTTATAACATTTGTTACACTCTCAGGTTGTTCCAAACCTGCATCCATTTCTTTGTTCTGTTGAACAAAGGAAGATAATTTGAAGGATGTGGGAAACTGAACAGTTTTTTTTTTTTTTTTTTGTCCTAGTATAGAGGTCAATGGTGCCCCAAAGCGGCCTGGTTACAAAATTTCTTCAAAATATCTTTCTTTGTGTTCAGCACAACAAAGAAATGTATACAGGTTTGGAACAACATGAGGGTGAGTAAATGATGACAGAATTTTCATTTTTGGTTGAACTATCCCTTTAAGAGAGAAAGTTTTAATTTAGTGTGTTTTTAACTTGCATGTAAGATTTGATTAATTCACCAAACTTTTGAATGGTATTGTAGGTATACATTGCTGTTTATTATTATTATTATTATTTGGTGTTTAAATAGAAATTATTACATTTAATTGGTGGAAAAAGTAGATTTTAAATATAATTTTTGCATTAAACATTTTTTTAAACAAAATGTTCTTAAAATTAAGTTTTTGTACATAAAATGCTTATGCTGCATTCCATGCAACATCCAACTTGGATCCCTGGTTTCACCTTAGTGACGGCATATGATGTCACATGGTAATGGTTAATGTTAATGCAATGCATTTGCTTAAAAGTGATTGTTTACCAAGTCAAATTTACTTCTGTGTGGTTTAAAAAAAAAACTGTTCAGCAAACATTCGCAGAGAAAGATTGTGCATTTTTACTTGGTCATCTGAAAAACACAAGCTAGCATCAGTGCTATTCTGTCTGCAATATAAAGCGAATTTCCCAGGTCAGAGTCCGGATTGGAATGCATATTTATCCTGCAATACTAACAATGAGACCTAGAGGGCGCTCTCTCTCCAGATCTCAATGTGAGCATAGTGAGGATATTTTAGGCTGGCTGTAACTGCGGTTTTGCCAGAGAATACCAGCAATGATCCATAGCATTACACGCATTAAACATACACCGAATGCACTGGGGAACTATTCTACTGTGTATCCAATGCTGAAAATCCTTAACACTACCAGAATGAGATCTGTTCACTTCACTTGTCAGTCAGAGCAGTCTGGAGGGGTTTCCACACTTCAGGTAATTAAAACTACAACCGCACACATTCACAAGAGATAAGCAGCTTTTCTGCATCTCTCCATCCCTGTTGCACGACGGCTGGATGAGGGTCAATATTTGAAATGTGTTAGACGAATTCACTCTTTTGTGTTTGTTTGCCAGATAGAACAGAACAGGGAGCTGAATCAAAGTTTACCACTGTGCCTTTGGGCGGCATGTGTGTGCAGTGCATTGTGGTCACCCAGAGGATCCAGCACACTCTAAAGACCCTCTTATCTTCTGCTTTTCTAGAAGTCTCTGGCTTACACTGTCTTTCTTTCCCTTATGTTTTTATCCTGTGTGCTCATATTTCCTTGCACACAAACAAACAAACGCGAATCGCATCCAAAGTTTTAATCTTCTCACTATTTTGACCTAATTCCTCTATCAGTTACGCATCTTATGTTTTATTCATACAAAACGCACTCGTTCAAACAATTCCTCAGCTATGTTCCTACAAATTTACAATCCGTCGCATTCCTCTTCTCCTGCACAGCCTCCTGAGGGCTCAGCTTCTCTCAGAAACCTGGGCATGACGTCAATGCTGCATATTGACGTCAAGGGTCAGACAGTCTTAGACAGAAAGAGCAAGCAATCAAGCTTGTTACCGCAGAGATGAAACTTTAAAGGCTTCCTAGGCCGTTAGAAACCCTACAAGGGGATAAAAACATAAGGTTGGTCGGTGTTTGTGGTGATGTTACTTCGCTGTCCCTCATAAAGCAGGAAGAGCTGCTAAAAACAAGTCTTTATTAAATCAGCAGTGATTTCATTGGCATGCGAAGCACATCTCTCCAGCTCTATCCTCCGCCACTCATCAAGAGCTGTGTGTGTGTGTGTGTGTATGACAGGCGTGCACCACTGAGAAGAGAGAGGTGGTGAGCGAGTGTGGCTGCAGAAAGGCCAGATGGATTTCGTCTGGTTAGTATAGGTTCAGTGGGCCGGCACAGGGTATTTTTAGAGCATTCTTTGGAAAGAGGGGCAAAACACTTCACTTCCGTTCATCCTTTTAAAGTCCTCCTCTCCAAAAACACAAATGACAATTTCTGCATTCCTAAGCAACCGTCCTTAAAATAAACCCCCTCTTCTGATTGAAAAAATTAACCCTTCATATCATAGCGAGAACCTCATACAAGCAGGAGCGTACAAGAAAACAGAACCGATCTGATAATCCCAGCTGCAGACTGAATAACAGCCCGTGAATGGATAATGACTCGTGCAAATTGCTGCGTATTTGGTGTCAGCCATCTGCCAGCGTGATTGAAAATACCCTCAGATAAATAGTCAAAAGTGAGGAGCCATGCTGTAGCGTACTTTGATCCATTGACATTATTTCTGTTTCAAATCTCTACAGTGGCACTATGACCTTTCAGAGTGCTGGTAAGTCCATCTGGGTTTCCGCATGGATTGATCAGCAGTGTCAGGGAAAAAGTGCAAAAACTGCACCTTTAGATTTTCACAGTGGCAGAACCCTCAGAGGAATACTTTTGAACACCTTTCATGTTGTAGACACTTGTGTTTAATGATTATGATCAAACATGAATTAACGTTGAACATGCACTACCGTTCAAAAGTTTTTAGTCTGCATTTTATCATGTTTTTGAAATAAGTCTCTTATGCTCCACATTTAGTTGATCAAAAATACTGTACAACTAGTATTGTAAAATATTATTACAATTGAAAGTAACAGTTTTGTATTTGTATATTTTAGAATGTAATTTATTCCTGTGATGGCAAAGCTGAATTTTCAGCAGCCATGATTTATTATCATTGTTGAAAACATTTGTGCTGCTTAATATTTTTGTGAAAATGATGATGCATTTTTGATCAAACGAATGCATCCTCAAAGTACTGCTTTCTTTCTTTCCAAAAAAAAAAAAAAAAAAAATGACCGCCCCCAAACTTTGTAGTAAAACTTAACCACAATAAATGCTGTAAAAAGTGTTGTTCATTGTTAGTTCATCATACTTAATGCATTATTATTAAATGCAGAACTGTTATTATTATTTGGAGGGCTCTAAAAGCATAAAGTGAATATTCTTTAGCTCAGGATAGTCTGAAGTGAAGGATTTGGAATTGTGTGTGTGCTCAGGGTGCATTCAGTGTGACATCATTTTCATGCGTTCAGGTCTCTGTCACGGTCTCAAAAACACACATGCTCAGAACTGAAACAAATTGTGAATGTCGATGTCTGTTATTTTTAGGGTACCGTTGGACCCCTGGCCCTCTCACAAGAAACTATTGTGCATGATGGTTCTTAACGCATTTATGCTAATAAATAGACATATGCCTCATAGTTTGAGATCTGAATCCAGTACAAATATAAAGCACAGGCTCTCTAAGCCTCAGATCAGGTTCATAGGTGTTCAATTGAAAAGTTCTTGTGCTTTGTATAGCTATAAGAACCCTCTCTGGGCCCTGCACACCCCACATGCTTGGCTCCAGGTCTGTTATCTAAGCGTCCACAGATGCAGCAGGAATATTTCATTAAGTGCTCTTGCTTTCTCAGGGTGAAGCGGCTGGGTATGCGCCTTGTAAACAGAGCAGGGAACAACAAAAGCCTTTTTGCTTTAATGAGCTGGAGTGTGCGTGTATTGTTGTACTGTACAATTTCAGTGCGGGCCATGTGGAAAACACAGCCTCTCAGACACAAACTTGTGTATGGAAACACAGGCTTAACAATGGAAAAAAGCTTCCTTCCACAACAACCACAATCATTATTGCCATCCGACAGCAGTCTAACACAGTCAAGGTGCCTGGGCTGAATGGGCTGTTTGTTTAGCTTGCCACATGGTTCCACTTGAGTGCTGTGGATTGCTCACTAGTTTGTACCGTCTCCTCTGTTCCCTTATTGCCTTCGATTGCTATTAACATGCGCCGGCTTTGTGACCGAAGCCCATCACGGGTGGACAAGGTCAAAACTTTGAGGCAGTGAAACGTCACTGAAGCGGCAAAACAGATCTCAGTCAATGTTGTGTAAAAATTAATATTGAAATTAGGACTGGCCCATATATTGAATATTCATGAAATATTTGTGAAGATTTAGCTGGCAATGTAAAATGTTTTTATGGCTTTTAATTGATAATTTAGTTTATTAAATAAAGACTCCTCGGATTCATTTTGCAAGCATGCTTTATCTTGCGTCTCTGCTTTAAACTTCAGTAGGAAACAGTTAAGCATAATTCTGATGTTCGAGTCATCAGTCAAAAATCTTCACTGAAGTCTCTAATAGTATATCAAAATATCTAGATAAATGTATCCCTTTTTTAGCTGCAACCCTAGGTGAAATGGGTATATTTGAACTTAAGTGTGCCTTATACGCTTGTCTTTTCTCATGCACTGCATCTACTGTAGTATAGGGCCTTGTTTCACATGGTTCAATGCTGCTCTTTCGTGGTAATCAATAATAATAATGTACTGTTCTCTAAATTCACACTTAATTGACATTAAATGTTGTTGCTTAAAGACTTAAAGCAGAGAATTAGTTGTTAATTGACGGAAGATGCCAGCTTGATCTCTGGAGTGTGATCTCCAGTCCTGTAATTCAGTTCAGATTGATTTTACGCAAGCATACGTGATGCGTTATCCTCAGACAATTTACATTTGACACTTCTTTCATTTTAAATGTGATGGTCTCTATCTAGTGAATGATGTTTATGTGTAGTTGTTAATACAAAAATCAATGAAAATAATTTCTTAGTAGTGGTATTTTGTCATGTACTATGTCCTATGTATGTCCTATAAAACCTTTCCTACTCCGCAAATGAAAGAGGGGGTTTCCATTAGCCCAAAATCATCACAAC